GTGGGTGTATCAACTGAGCTAGGCCCGTTGATCTGAATGGCACTTCGGTCGATGTATGATTTTGAAATTGCAATGAACCCAGACACATGAGAAGCTCATGTCATTGAATGTCGTGATACAAGTGTGACTCAGCGCAGCAATAATGTCTCCAGAAGTTGCTTATGTGTCCATGCCCAAAAAAATACATGCAATCTCCCAGTGTCTCCAACTTCAGAGACGACACTGAGAGAAGGGGGAGAAGAGACAGAGAGGAGGAGGAGGAGGAGGAGGAGAGTTACCACGAGAACCAATAAAGTTGAATAAACCAATAATCCCTCCTCAAGCCCGCTTCCTCCTCGGGCATCTCCTTCTCTCACCAATTCAGCGATGCAGTTCTCCTCTGACAATCTCTGACAAATACAATGAGCAGGTCACACAACAGGGTGCCCATCCTCCATCCACGTCAGCATCAAACAGGGAGTATGGCGCAAATCTTGCTCACCTTCTTGGAGATGAGCAGCATATCGCACACGATGTCACAGGTAAGTCAAGGTAAGCTTCCCCTCGTCACACACACCAATCTCACAGTCCAGATCCTCCTCCTCCTCGCCCACACTCCTGTCAGTGTCTAAATCTATGCGGCTATGGCCGTGACAGCATAATCTCCCCCTCAAGGCTGGCGCACGCTACCAGCATCTAGCGCCAGCATACTACTCCAGCAGCCTTGCCTTACACACCAGCATCTACCCAGTGCAAGGCAGAATGATCCCCAAGCAGGGGCTGCGTCAACTTTACAGCGTTGACTCACGTTGACCAGCCTCTGGACTCTTGGGGTCGACGGCCCGGATCAATCCGACGCCAATCGCCTGGATGCTGCGCAGTTGCAGATTTCCCCATGTGTCCCACTTGGACCGGATTCCCCTGGATACCTGCAGACAATCAATGGTGCGCATTGTATCTACGGCCGTGGCTGACCACGGGGTTGACTTTGACCTTTGGGCCTGGGATGCCGTGCTGGGGTTGACCGTTGACTTTCCAGAGTCAACTGTCACTCGTAGGGCCTCGGACTGCTGTTTTTGGGCCAGCCCTGGGTACCCCTTGACCTTAGGGCGCCACCTTTGACCCCTGTTTCGGGCCTTTGACCGAAAGTGACGACCTATAGCCCACGGCTTATGCAGATTTGAGCTGAGTTATTGCAAATTGCGCATTTCAGTCAAAAATAGGGGTATTGTTTTTCGCCCTCCTTGAACTCTCAGGCCCTCTGCACACCATGGCCTGCCCTTGTATTTATGACATACACGCTTATAATTTACAAAGTGCTGCGCCGCTTTTATTGCCTTTTCAGACTCAGCGCCTGAGGTTTTGCCCGTCTGTGTTTTTTTTCCGCCCATCCCACACTCGTTTTTGACTAACACGCACTTACCCCCCCAGAAAAAAGGTGAGAAATTCAAGAAGTAACTCGGACTTACCCCCCGCCCCCCCCAAAAAAAAACAGGCGATAAATTCAATAAACAACACACACTTACTCTACCCCCCCCCAAAAAAAAAAGGCGTAAATTCAAGAAGCAACACGCACTTACCCCCCCCACCAACAAAAAAAAGAAAAGGCGATAAATTCAACAAACAACACGCGCTTACTCCCAGGTGATAAATTCAAGAAACACCACGCACTTGCCCCCCCCCCCCAAAAAAAAAGGTGATAAATTCAAGAAACAACTACATCCATGTCATGGTTCGAGTTTCGGATCTGCAGGAAAAAATAACAGGTGACAGCAACTTCGGGCGGAGGGTAGTTTCAAACTGCGAGAATAGCACAAAATAGCGGCCCTTGCAAATGTAGTTATTTGAACAAACAGGGGATTTTATTAAATACAAGTGGACCTGCTGCAGCTGCCGCGAAGGACGATGACAAAAACATTTTGCAAAACACCCCAGCCATCAGTTGGACCCCATCTTTGCAATGTACCCCTACTGGACGCTTCCCAACTTAGCAAAATGCCCCGGCAGTTGCCAAGTTTTTGTAGGTGCAATTGCAAAAGGCCAAGCGAATCTGAACACCGGCCTGACAGGGGCATAACACAAACATGTCAGCCCAAAAGGCCATTCCACTGTGCCCATATCTTTTAGGGACATTTTGACATATATCTCAACTTATGGGGGTATTTGGCAAATTACCCCCCCCCCCCA